TTTATATGTAGATAGTAACTTCATGTCTTGTATAATAATTTCTGTTATAGCGATCAGCGATCAAAAGTACATAATTATAATTATAACCTCAGTAAAATTATATGATTAATAACATATAAAATTTATGAGATTTATATCTAGTTCTTAAATAATTTCTAAAAATTCCCCTAGTAACCTATAGAGTTTCAAAATTCTCTTTTCAAATCTTCCATATAAAATATATATTTAGCATAAACTTTAAATTATTTAACTTTTATTTTCAATAAATTTGAAACGTTTAGGCATTTATATATTACAAACTAATATATTTTTATATATGATCATCATATTTAAATTATAATTACTTTTAATCATTTAACCATAATGATGATTAGAGACTATTAACTTTTTTTAATACCAAATATTAATTAAAATTTATTTATTTCAATTTATTAACTTATTTAATTTATTATAAATTTATAAATAATAAATATAAAAAAATTAAAAATTAATATATATATGAAGATGTAAAGATTTTCACATATGAAGATTTTTTATTCAAAAACAAAATTTAAACAAAATTTATGGAAAACCCGAATTAAAATAAATCGCAAATTATATTTCTTTTATATTTATTATTATTATTATCACTAAATATATTAATTATATTCCTTTTATATTTTATGCATTATTATTATTATTATGAAGATTTTTTAATTCAAAACATAAAATTTAAACAAAATTTGTAGAAAATTCGAATTAAAAAAAATCGCAAATATATTAAATAAGCTACTAAATATATTAAATTATATTCCTTTTATATTATATGTTATTATTGTTATCACTAAATATATTAAATTATATTCCTTTTATATTTTATGTCTTATTATTATTATTATTATTTCAGTTGTAATGTTTAACACATATGTATTAAATAATATAACAACATTAATTATTATATTACAAAACAATAAAGTTTATATCAAAAAAAATTTTTTTAATAAAGAAGGAAATAATTATATGAAACATTTTCTATATTGAATATTTTTAAAATATATTCAAATTATAAAATTATAATATTTTGCACTTAGTTTTATGTATTAAATAATATAACCAACATTAATTATTATATTATAATACAATAAAATTTAGAAAAAATTTTAATATTTTTTTAGCGAAGAAAACAATTTTTTAAACATTTTATGTGATGAATATTTTTAAAATATATTCAAATTATAATATTTTGCACTTAGTTTTATGTATTAAATAATATAACCAACATTAATTATTATATTATAATACAATAAAATTTAGAAAAAATGTTAATATTTTTTTTTTAGCGAAATCAATTTTTTTAAACATTTTATGTGATGAATATTTTTAAAATATATTCAAATTATAAAATTATAATATTTTCCACTTATTTTTTACACACGTCATAAAAAAATTTCCTTTTCGAACTCTTCACTCACCTTTAAGCATGGATATCGGTATGGCTTCGAAAGGAATTTGCGTAGCATTTAAGAATATGTACAAGGACCGACTAGCTTGGTTTAATATATCAAAATAAAACTTCACTGGCTGCGACATTTTAAATCTCTGATATAATAATATCAAACAAACTGCTTTTTTTTTTAATTTCTTTAATTAAACCAAAGTAATTTGTATACACAATTCAATTAAAAATTTTAATTTCAATTTAATATACAAAATTATTTATTTCCACTCAAACTCGAACAACCACCACAAGTCAAAGTCAATGGTGAACTGAGCTCAACTTGTTTATGGCAAGCCAATTTAAAATCTGTGTGCATACATGAGGTGGCCATAGTCTAATCTGCGGCAGCAACGGCAAAGCCGGTGGAATTGTTTTGTTTTTGTTTCGTTTTATTTTGCTTTTGCTTTCGCCTTTTTCCACAAATACAAGCACATGAAATTATTTTTATTCATAAATAAACATATACACAAATATATATATATATATATATATATATATATATATATACATATATGTACATGTTAAAATATGCGCCATGGAATCGAATATTTTTATTTTGTCAATATGCGATATTGTTTAAACACATTGTTGTGTATATATGTATGTACATTTATTTACTTTAATATATTTATTACTAAATAGCGATTTGCATATAAAATATATTAATTTAGTTTCAAAAGGAAGGAAGTTTTTGTTTACAAATATAAATATATTTATAAGTATCCGTTAAAATATTTAATGTTTTTTAATAAATAAAGAATGAAACACAAAATCTGAACTATTTTATAATATAGTATATTAACAAAGTTTAAAGTCTGATTATAAAAATAAATAATACGCACACACGATGAAATATTTGAGTGCGTGCGTATAAGCACATATAGACGTATGTATATAATAGAAATGTACAGTAAATTGCAAGACAAAAACAAAGAACGAATAAATGTAAACAGAGAATGGTTCAAAACAAAAACCTGATATATGTATGTATAAATGAAAAAAACAAACATAAAATTTATGTTATAAATATGTACTTAAGCTTGTATAAATGAGTTTGTATGCATGAGTGTTTTTTTAATATTTTTTGTATTGTACATATAAACATACATATGTCGTCTTATACATTTATGTGAAGAGTCAAATACCAGAGGCGTGCACACAAAAGAGTATAACTAACTTCTTTGTTACAGTAATAGCACATAATATATGATATATTAAATACATATATAAGATTAGATTTTTTTTTATATAAATAATGATTGTTTTTTTTAAATTAAATTATTGTTATAAATTCTTTAAATATTTATTAATCTATATGAAAGATATATATGTATATATACATGTATCTATATATAATCTATACGGGGGGTAATGCTCCAATTAAAAAGATTTGTCTAAAAAATACTATGGAATCAAAAACTCAGAAGAAGAAATCTTCATTATGATAAAGACACCAAGTTTTAAGAAATTACAGGCGGACCGGTCTATGTTTCGGAGCTAATAGCTTTTTTAAATTACCAAGTCCCGCGCACTTCTAGCAATGATCCAAAAGTAAGTTTCCTGCTTTCTGCAAGAAGTATAAGTGTGTCCTAGATTGATAGTTTGAGCTGGCAATTGTGATTTCAATTGAAAGGATAATACTAAATGTGTTCCAAACTTATATTTGGAACAATATAACAATAAATAACTCATTAATGCTATTCCTCAGATACTGCATTATTATAAAGCACTATTAGTAAAGTTCTGGTACTAATAGATTTCTCATTTAATAAACTGCCGCGCACTCTATTTTAAATAAGAAGTCTCACACTACAAAATAAGGTAACACAATAGACAAACTTTTACGATTCCAAAAAAAGCTGTGTCTTAGTCACAGAGCCACTTATTATCGACGATCACAATTCTCGTCAAAATATAATATTTCGCGCTAAATGCGAACCAAACACACTAGGATATTGTTCCACTAGAATCATAATTTATGGATGGTTTATGGCTGGATCAAAATTAAATAAGAAATCCAATCAATATCCAATCTTAAAATTAACAGGAGTTGTACACGCAATTGCATTTGTAGCCATTATAATAATTTGTAGTGGTTATAGTATACTCATATGCTGTCACCTTATTTTACTGCCGACAGCTTCAGCACTTCTTATAACGAAAACAAGAGTGCTTATAATAGATCCATATTCAATTCGACTCTATTGATGTCATATTCATATTTGAATTCAAATACATACAGCTGGACGTAAGATTGACATATAAAAATAAACCCCCGCTAAGTAAAAAAAAAAATATAGTGGCGATATCACAACACCATTGCATACAGAAAAATATAATGTATTTGATAAGATGATGTGACCCGAGCAACGTTTGTTGCACTAATAATCAAAGTTCGAATGTTTGATATAAAAACAGGCTAGTCTTCCACGTTTCTGTCATTAAAATATGTATGTCGCTTCAAAAAAATGATTACAAACAAATTTAGGTGCCCTTTTGTTTGGGGATAAAGTCGTGACTTTTCTCTTAAAATAAAAAAAATTATTAATTTTAAAATTATAAAAATTTTATTATTTATTTTAAAATATATATAAATATATACATTGACATAGAAGTATTACATCAAATATTGTATCATTAGCTTTTGTGGTTTTTTAATATAGTACATTTAATTCCGTAACTATTACATTTTAAGGTCATAATAACGCTAATCAAAATAAAATAAGTTTAATTTTAAATTAAATTTTATTAATAAAAATATAATAGATATGATGTTCGCAAAGTATATTAACAATAATTATACATACTTGTATAATATACTGAGTACTTCTCCACATTATAATAAAAAGTTACAAATATACATGTAATATATACAATTTATATGACTTCCTCGGAAGCAGTATTATAATAATTTGTAAATAATTTATATAATAAACAAATATAAAAATGATCAAATTGAGATCTTAAAATAATATAATAGGAAGTTTAGGTAAAGCTTTAAAAAAATTAACATGTAATTTTATTTTAATATTATGGGAACATTTAGCTTAATTTATGTAATTAATATAAAAATAAGTCTTTGTCTGTTTTGATGTAAGACCACCACCAATGACTTCATAATTAAGTTTCTTTGTGTCCTCACTCGCAAAACAGATAGGAATACAACATATAATTTATTGTAATGTTTATTTTGTAAAAAGTGGATGACACTTGATCAACAAAGCAACCACTATTTTATTTAAAAGATTTTATAAATTGTACATCTTAAATATAAGTATGTCTGATTCCATTATTTATACAAAAAAAATGTTTAAAAACAAAAATTTTTTATTTATAATTACTTTTATAAAAAGCAAATAAATAACATCTTCTATTTATGTTAAAGAATAAAGAAGCTTTTTTTAAAAAAGAAAAAAATTTTTCATGTAAAATATTTATTTATATCTAAGACAAAAATACCTATCTAAAATACATAATTTTTTTTTGGTCAATTACATGATACATCATATTAAATTTCACATTTATAAAAAAATATAATAGCCATATAAAACTAAGAAAATAGAAGAAGTAGTCATTACAAAAGTATAATATCCAAATTAAAAAGAAATCTAACGAAAACTCAATATATTTGCCTAAAGAAAAAAATAATTTATTAATATAAATTAAATATTTTTATAAACAATAGTTACCTCCGCAAAACGTTCAAATGCTTTTCCTCTCCAAATAGGCAATTTCTCAACTTGATTAATGTTTTTGAATTTTCCATATAAAGTTCTAGTAATCAAAACATAAAAAATGAAATACAAAAACTATTAAATTTATTTATAAATTAGTTAATAAAAGTATACTTATAAACGTATATACTTTTGTTTATTTAACAAATCTTTTATACCTGTGTGTCACAATGTGATACGCTGTTTTCTGGCCAATTTGTGGAAGAACCTGTATTTGCTTTATGGATCCCGAGTTCAAAAGATCTAAAATGGCTTTCCTATGCTTTATTAAGTTTTTATTACTCGGCGTTTTTGATTTTATATCATTATGCGCATCGAAATAATGAGAAGTGATATTTTTATTTACTGTTGATTTGATATTCTTATCATCAACAGTTTTAATGGATTTACTCTGATTCTTGCTCACTGAATTTCTTCTGATTTTTTTCTCAGCACTGTTATTTGCTTGACGTATTGAATTTTTTCTATCCTTATACATCTTAATGAGTGATTGACTTCTAGTATGTGACCTATTAAATGAAGATTCACTTATGTTAGAATCATTCATTTGATCACGTAGAGCTTTTTGTTCAGATATGCGGAGTGATCGTCGAATAGAATCATTGTTCTTTCTAGAAATTGGAAGGTCAGGTACTTTAAAAACTGGACTAGTTTTGGAAAACTAGAAAAAAAATTTAAAATTTAATTAAATATATTTTTTAAAGATAAATATATATATACCAATTGTTGACATGTTGTATTTGGATCGATAGACAATGAACTGTCATTATCCAAACTAATATTTGATGTGTTGTTTGCCTTTGACTTGCTTTTAATAAAGTCACTTAAGACACTATGAATTTCTTTGCGTATACTACCGGTCCAAATATCTGTGGCGTTTTCAAAATCAATGGGTGCGTTAGTCTCATGCAGTGATTTGACAGCGCTCATGTTTTCTTTGTTTTTGAAAGCACTGAATATTTTTTCTATTTTCGTGTCCATCATGCTTTCGCAAGCGGCAACCATTTTACGTACAAGAGGACTATCACTATTTTTTAGAAAAAAATTAATTTTATCTCGTTTTCGTTAGAAATATGTATTAAATTAGTACCTTGACGGCGGTGGCTTAGGCTTAGGTTGCTCAACCGCATCTAGTACTGTAGATGTTGATACATCCAAGTTTAATGAACCCTGCGAATCTATACTAGTATTCAATGATTCGAAACATGATTCCGGTGGCGGCACATTAAAACTGCTTTCTATGGGTTCTAGTCTGTTTAAAATTTTTCTAAAAAAATTTGTTTATTAATATTATGAAAATTGAAAGAAGTTTTTCTCTTACTTATTCATTTCTTTAGATGTAAATCCGATTTCTGATTCATTTAACTTAAATGCTCCAGGATTTTTATTTTTGTTCGGTGTACTAAAAGTGTTTCCATGGACTGCGATTCGTTTTATACCAGAATTGAGCGGATTATTAATTACATAAACTTTGGTGGATTTATTAATGGAATATGGCATATACATCTTTCCAGGCATATTTGAACTTTTTAAAGGAATTTTAGTAGTTTCTGGTTTTGATATTTGTTTGAATGGTGTCTTGGTTTTAGATTTCTAAAATAATATTAAATTAAAGTTAATAGATATTTTCAAAATAAATTGTATTAAAAACTTGTATGATCAACCAATATTCAATAAATTAATTAAAATTTTTGTTGTTGTTTCTTCATTACTTTTTGAACCCTTTTATATTATATTATACAAAAGGAAATTCAAAAATATATACAACAAGGAAGTACCACTCGTATTTCTATTGGAAATTCTAAGGACAGCGTGATATCATAGATTACAACAATTAAAATGAAGAACGTTGAAAAGTCTTTACGACTTGATCATTTAAAAAGTTTATTAAAATAACCATATAAAGCCTTAGTAAATCTCTACTGACGCTTATAGAAACGATATCACAACATCTGTTGTGTCTATGTCCAGAACCAAGCTTAAGTTGTTTGGTGTCCAATTCTTTAACAGTCTCGGCGATATTTTCAGCAATACTGTTGATCAGATTCTCGTATTTATCAATACTTCCGGCTGGTTCTATCATGACCATTCTCGTACCCACCATTACGGGGAATTTTGGAATCAAAACGGCTTTTCAGCTAATTGAAGACTCGTTTATCTCTTCACTTCATCTAACCTAACCATATGAACTGACTATATTAAGAGAAGCGGCTTGATCTATGAACTATACCAGCAGATCCGTACCAACTTTATTGTGAAATTTAAATTTTTTGTAGTTGCCAAAAATTTTCCACAGGTCTTACTGAAATTTTGATTTATCTGATTTTAGTGTTGTTTTCTATTTTATGTTATTATTACTAACATATAGTTTATAGAAATATATCTATTAAATTTTAAATACAATATAATATACTTTAATGAATACTCTGCTCACTTGAATTAGCATCATAAAGTATTAAGATGAAAATATATTTAAAATGTTATATCAAAATTTTTTATATGCATTACATACTTGTACATTATGGTTTTTTTATATAAACCACAAAAATTCAATGCGACTCAATGCGGTTAAAAAAAAAATAACGAAATAGATTATCTATTTTATTTATGAAACACAAGTTTAGTTGAAGTTCTAGAGCGGTGGGTGCAACATGTCATCAATTATAAGTCTTAATGATGTTATTACAGGTGCTTTGCAACACATACTGGAAGCTAAGTTTCCAAGATGTGAATATAGATACAATATCAAGAAGGCATCTGCAAAAGGTGATAATTACATAGGTGAAGTTTTTCGTATATTTGTTGAGGTAAATGCAAATCGGGACAAACAATTTAAGCTCATATTAAAATTACCACCACAAAATCTTATACGACGTAAACAATTTTTTGCTCGACCATGTTTCTTAAGAGAGTCTCTGGCTTATGAAGAGGTTTGTTGGTCAAAAATAAAAAACTGCACGAGTGCTTTTTAATCGCAATATTATTTTATATAGTTCTTGCCAATAGTAAATACATTTCAAATCACCAAAGGAATATTGCCAATAAATCCGCAATCATTTCATGAATATGCAGAATGTTATTACACGTTAACGGATGAAATGAATGAAGCTATATTTATGGAAGATTTATGCGACAAAAACTTTGATATATTTAACAGATTCGAGCAATTAACAATGGAACATGTTACACTAGTCTTGCGTATATATGCTAAACTACATGCGGTCTCATTTGCTATAAAAGATCAAAAACCTGAACTTTTTGAAAAGTTTCGAGATATTAAAGATATATTCCAACAGCGTAAAGATGATTCCCAGTTGGCAGTTTATTTCGAAGAACTCAAAAAAAGCACACTAGCATGCGTATATGAAAACGATAAATCTCATTGGAATAAATTGCATGAATATTTTGAAAAAAGTACTTTCTTTGAACTCATTTTGCCACTTATCGATGGCAAATTAAATGAACCACATGCAGTTATTTGCCATGGTGATTGCTGGAACAACAACATAATGTTTAAACATGAGGAATGTACATCTTAATTGAATACTTTGCTTTGTTTTATATCGTATTTTTATTCTTACAGAATGAGAAGGTTACTGAAGCACGTTTGATTGATTGGCAAATTATGCGTTATGCTTCTCCTATTACCGATTTGGCATATTTTATATTTAGTTGTACCACACAAGAATTCCGCATTAACAACTACGAATTAATGTTGGATACTTATTACAGGGAATTTGAACAACACGTCAAGAGGTAAATCCAAAACATGTAGTACGATGTATAATAAAATCAAATATATTTTGCTAGATTGGGTTCTGAACCAAAAAATTTATTTTCACGAGACACCTTTAATACAGAATTAAAGAAAAAAGGTGCTATTGGTTTGCTTTTGGCTATGATTGTTTTACCCATTGCAACAACAAAAACGGAGAATGCACCAAATCTGGAAGAATTGAGTGAAAAAATTGAAGCTGGTGCAACTACAGATTTAGTTGGTGCTGGATTTTTAAGTGACAGTAATGTCTACGACTACACAAAACGCATGCGTGAAGTTGTTTTGGATGTTATTGATTTGGGTTATATATAACTATAAGTATGAAGCACACATTTTTATTATAAAGTTTTTGAATACATACATATATATTAATACTTACTTTGATTTCTGCTATGACTGCATTAACGTGTGGTGAACTTTTTAATTGTTTAGCGTTTTGTGCAAATCGTAGTGTAGAGAGCGTTTCGCTTAAATCTTCTTTTTGTGGACTCACACAAGCCAAAAGTGTTAAATATGAATTCGGACTCAGTGAATCTGGAATATTAATATATTTCAAACGTTGGTAATAATTTGGTTAATAGAAACTAAATAAATAGTAGCTTACCTTGTAAAACTGAACTTAATACACTGTCGCGATACGGTATTATTTTATTACCCTGTATCATAGCTTGTAGCACTTTTCCAATGCATAAGAGTCCTTGATTGATATGCACACCTTCTGATAAGGCTATACCTTGATGACCTGTGCGACGCACACCTTCAGAACCAGCTAAGTCAACAAGATTTAAACATGAATTTAAAATTTTGCCATCATTTTCAGATTTCAAATAAATTGTAAATATGGCATGCGAACGAGAGCTTTGCGAATTCATTTTTGTTGGACGAACGTGACGATTTTTTGTACCCTGTGTTAGTATATCCAGACATTGTTTGATAGTAGTCACTGGTTTGCGACTGCCAATAGTAATTTTTAAACCTACAATTCAAATAAATATATATTTAACGAATAAGCTATTTCTAATAAGTAATTTATTAGAATTTAAACATACCTCGTGATACAATTGGATCCGTTAAATTATCACCCAGTAAATCAAAAACTTTCTCATTATATATTTCAACAAAAGAAACACTAACTTTAGTTTTAATCTCCGTTACTATATCGTTTTCAGTTTGGGCCATAGTAAGTATGTCTTTCAAGCATCTGGGTATAATGCCAACATTTTCACTATCAAAGTGCTGTATATTATAGGTAAACGTCATTATAATAGATTTAGCATAATGCATAGACATTGATTGTACTTACGTTGGTATCAAGTCCCATTGTATAGGATTTGCCAGTTCCCGTTTGACCATACGCCATAGCAGTGCAATTAAAGCCCTGTCCTACTTTCTCAATTAATGGTGTGATAAGTTCATTATACAATTTTTCTTGTGTTACTGTTGGTCCGAGTACATGATCAAATGCAAAAGGTCTCTCATCAACAAGAAGTATCTACAAATTCATTTTACATAAAAATAAAATTTTAAACATAAATTTATATCACTTACATTGCAACTGCCAACATTTCTGTAAGATATAACACTTATATCTGGTTTATTTTTATTTTTTCGAATTGGTCTTTCACGTATAGCTATTTTTACAGCATTATCAGACATTTTTAAAGTTTAAGTTATTTATTGTTATGATATTTCACTTAATATAAGAATTGATACAAACAAAAATACGTAACCGTTTGTTTTTGTATTGAAATCAAATAATGGCGTCAATTCGGTTTGCTCATAATAAAGTTATTGCCAAGCTAAAAAAAATATTTATTTTACAGACAGTATTAAAAAATTTTTAATAAGCTATGTTATGAAAAATACTTAAAGTATATTCCTTGATATATGAATTTATTTAAATTGTATGATATATTGATTAAAATGCTGGAAACTTTATGTGTGTGTATATATTTTTAAATTTATTTTTTGTTTTCAAATTTTATAAGAACTGTAAATAATGGAAATAAGGAAGCAATTTACATGACAGGTAAATATTATTTACATAAAATTTATAAATCAATAATTATGTAATACAAAATATGAAGAAATTAGCTCTCAGCAGATTAGAACCTTCTTTATTGTATAATAAATATTAATATAAAAACATATAAACACATTTTAATTAAATCTGAAAAAATTATACTAGTGATACACTAGTTCAGCAGTACTAGATACTTTTAAACAAATATATTTTTATATTAAATATTCAATATATATTTTTAGCGTTCAATTTAAATTCTTTGCGTACATACTTATAGATTAATATTATAGCTGTATTACGGCAAAAATTTTTATTGTTTTGTCACATATTTTTTAAATACGATATAAATTAAATAATACCGTTCTTTTAGATTTCTCCGATGCTTTTAAAAATCTAACTTAATTTATTTAAATTTACTAATTTTGAAAATAAATATTTATAAATTGAATTGCATATGCTTACTTTGATATAAACTTTCCATATGGCAATGCTGTAATATTGACTCGTCTAAATTATTTTTTCGATAATCAACAATCGCTTTCAACTTTTGTTTTTCAATTACATTCAATTTTTTATTTCATATGATTGCAAATAAAAATTTTTCTGTAGAGTATTCATCAAATTGTTCTGGAACATTATGGATGCGTAAGGCATCATCCATAATCAAAATTAAGCACAATATATTTGTAAAATAGTATATTTAAAAATAATTATTCGCGTTTTGTGAAAAATTAAAGTGAAAGAAGAAAAGCAATAATTCCATAGTTGTGGCTAAGAAAAAGTAAGTTTAAATTTTTTAAATATAATGTGAATTTCGCAATTTTGTGTGTTTTGTAACAAATGAATATATTTAAATATTGACACACTTTTTGTAAATTTTCTGTACATATAAATTTTCATTATATTTTTATCTGTCCTTGTTACAATTTCCTAATATTTTACCACTGCGCATTTCACAAGATTTAAACATTTTGTTTTGATTTCAACTTTCGCTTATACCATATTCAGTTTTCAATTGTTTGTGTCTATTTAAAATTAAATAATATTAACAGCAATTGTTGAGGTCATATTTATAGAAATTTTAGGAAAGACTTTGTTTAATGCATTTGAAACCTACATCTAAATTATATTAATTATAAAAGTGATTATTTCAATATAAATTCAGACAACCATTTTAGTTTGCCAAGTGGAGAAATAACTGCAAAAGCCTTTTCTTTATATAAAACAATAACTAATGTGCAAAAAAAAATCTCTACAGTACACTTAGTTTATTATTTAACCAAGTTATGAAAACGTGCATATATTAAGTGTTCAATAATAATAACAATAAAAAATAAATTTTCATTACAGCAGACACATCCTAAACAAAGAAAACTTGGGTGCTAAAGTAAGGCTTGGATTTTAATAAAGGTGCATTGACTTGGGTCAATCGACGCTGCAAAATTCCCCACTTCAGTCATATAACAGCATCCTGTTTATACATATTTGGATAAAACAACTTTAAAAAAATAAACTACGTTGTTTCTTTGTTTCTAAGAAGAAAAAAATAAACTGAAATCGTGCATTTAAAAGTAAACAGTGGTTGAATAAAAGTGAATACAAAAAAAAAAACACTCCAAAACAGAAACGAACGACGCAAAATGCCAGCTGACTCAGTTTCAAGGTAAATAACTTTTCTTCTTACTAGTGTTCACTAAGTTTTTCACTTACTTTTCTTTGTTTTCCGTGTATATGAAAATGATCAATTATTATAAATTAATTTAGTATTTATACAATAATAATTGTTACATATATTTAAACTACATTTTCAAACATACATTGTGACATACATATGTATATGCAATAGATTTTTAATATATAATAAGATAATTGCAACATTTTAAAATTTTTAAATATTAATTATATGTCTTCTTTTTAGGATGGATTCAAATAGCTCAAATAATGAACAAAATTTACTTGACAACATACTAGGAACTTCACCTGGTGCTAAGAGCCTACGGGAGCGCACCGAAAGTGAAAGTTCAGACAAGTAAGTACCTTTATTAGTAAACTCCTAATAAAGTGAATGCTTAAAATTTGGTTATTGTTTCATATTAAATATTATCCTAATAAACTATATGCTTAAACATAATTTATTGCTAAAATATATGTGAGTTTTTATATACGGTATCTGTTTATTATCTATATAAATATGACCAGTTTCTTGCGCAGTGCAGAATATTGTTATGACCCATTGTAAAAACATAAGAAGATGAGTAGAAACAGTTCCTTTAAAACATAAAAGGGGGCATTCTATACGGGAATGATTTCTGTATAAATAGTCACTTTTCACTAGTGGAGGCGCTAGGTGTTACGACGTCAGCAACCGTTGATGGTCTCGTGTCCACAGGGGCCTCGCAAGAAGTAACCGATTATCGATTTTATTTCAACGATATAAAACAACTTGTCCGGTGTAGTAAAAAAAATAATTTAGAGGAATTATATCCGAATATTATGTAATAACCAGAACAATGCTCACAGTTCCAGTTAGTATAGTTTCCACTGAAGAAGCTTCTCAAAGTTAAAATTGATTAAGACCTATTTGAGAAGTATGATGAGCTAAGACAGACTATCTCCATTGACAATTCTATCAATTGAAGCGAAAATAGCAGGAGGTGTGACTTGACTCCGTAATGAAAGAGTTATAAAATCATAATCAGTTGTAATAATACTGCGCCCTGACAAAGAAGTCAAATTAACTTCGATAACCCAATGTGATATTTATATAAATAATAATATATAAATAATGATATTTATATAAATAATAATTGTATAAAATAAATCTGTATATATATGCTATAGATATTGTTAAGATAATGTAACATAAATGGAGACTATTTATACAAAAACAGTTCCAGTTTAAATAACCCGTTTTTATTTCATACAGAAACTATATACATATATAATATAAATATATATATTTATGTGAAGATATATTTTATATAATTAGTATGTACAGATTTATTTAATATAGTTAGTATATATTTATATGTACATATATATAGTTTTATTTTTTATAATTATTATTTATATAAATATCAGAGTTTCGAAGATTTCTTCGCTATATATATATATATATATATTTGAACTATATAGACAAATCTATAAACATCGATTATAATTATTTTAGCTATGTAGTCTTTATATAAAGGGACAATAATATTTAACAACAAACATAACACTATTGAAAAAATGTACTAGGAACTATTCTAATATACATATATTGTTTCAGATTAGCTCGATTTGTTTTACCGAGTATGGATGGAAGTCCACCAAAAATACTGACACTTAACGAATTATCAACGGTGCTAAAAAATATACAAAATATGGAATTAGCTCATGAAATTGCTTTAAATCCGGAGTTTAAACTTGAACCATACGAACCACCAGAAGACAGGTATGAACACAGTATATAATATTGATTCAATTAATGTAATACAATATTTTTTATAAGCATTTAATAACAATTATAATTTATTAGGACATTTTAACAAATTTTATAATAATATGTTAATATTTTAGTTTATTTAATTTAATTTTACTTTACTTTACTAGCCTTGAAAGTCGAATAAAAGAAATAATGCATAAAGCATTCTGGGATTTGTTACGTGAACAATTGCAACAAGATCCACCCTGCTATGATCATGCAATACAATTATTGACCGACATTAAAGAATGCTTTCCACAGATCTTATCACCCAAAAACATGCGTGCTTTAGATCGCATAGACGATGTACTTGACGCGGATGTCATAAGACAACAAGCTGAAAAGGGTGTTCTTGATTTTAGATCTTATGCTCTATTCGTCATAGATATGTTGTCGAAATTATGTGCACCAGCACGCGATGAAACTGTGCAGAATTTGAAAAAAATTGAGGACGTTGTGGATACATTTAAGGGTATTTTGGAAACAATGTCTTTAATGAAACTCGATATGGCAAATTATTTAATAGATTTTGCACGTAACGATATAATGGCTAATTCCGTCGAATATGAAAAGGAAAAATTTAAAGAATATCTACAAATTTATAAATGTAAGCTAGTTGATTTTTTTTTAAATAAATTAATTATAATATAATATATACATTGAATCTTCAATAGTTGGATTTCCAGCTACGGAAAACTGGCTGAAAAGAAATCGTACACTTGATGATAATAACGTACCTTGCACTGCCGAACAAGCTATAAACAATGCCTATATAGATTTAGTAGATTGGAGTGAAGAGAATAAGTTCCCCGAGGTTCTATCAATGGACAAAGATCGTTTGCTTAAATTTACGAATAGAGCTAATCGACTCTGTGCTTGTGCTTCTCTTATTGCACTTTCTTCAGCTTTGCCTATTATATCTCAACGCACAGATAATCGAGTTGCTTTAGCTAAACAAATTGAAGTATTAATGCAGGATGTTATTACTGAAAAGTAAGCAAATACAAAAGGCATATAATCTATCAGATACTAACGTATATTTCCATTACAGAGACATGTCTGAGGCTATAACTAATATTTTTGAACAAATCAAGAGTTTCATAAATAAATGTTTAAACAAAGAAAATCAACCAAATGTGGAAGAAGAAACTTTAAACCTTTTAAAAATGCATATAATGCAAATTGCAGACAAAAACAGCTCTGTGCGAACTTTAATGAGTAAGTTAATATATAATTCATTTGTATATGTATAAATTTATTGATTATAATTTATATATCTAAAGTGAAGCGATTGAAAGTCTTTTTCCGACTGGGAATGCGTTCAAATGCTGGTTTGCCAGCACCACCACCAGGATTTGAGCATTTTAAAGATGAGTTGGAAGCTTATACCACTGCCTTGAAACGGGTTATTAAATATAATCACAACGTATTTGGTGATTATTTTTTAAAAGTTTTAACTCAGGAACGACAAGTAACCGAAACTAGTACGACTGTTGAAAATACCGAATCCAATAATTAAAGGTATAAGGCGTGTCCAAAGTTGTATTAAACGTGGGTATCAATATTTTGGTTTTTTTTTGGATTAAATCAAAAACTAGACTGAAGCCAAGGAAACGCATACATACTGTCTGTTAATAATGGTAGTGATGGCTTCTTTCGTGCTATGCCAGATACCCTACAGTATTGGATTAAAGTAGTAGAAATTGAAACCCGGAAATCTTTTAAAGTTTTATGAACACCTAAAAATTTGAAATAATAACAAACGCGAATATAAAAATTTTGTTTTCTTCATTATATTTATATTAATCATACTTACTAATTATTATTATATTACCGAACATCTAATATATATATTGCAACGAAATAATTAAGATTGTTAATTGGGTGCTATGGGCAGCTAGAAAATTAATTATAACTAGAAAAATTATGTCTAATTTAAATTTATATACAAGCAATTCTATTTACTAAACATTTTATGATCGATTTTAAATTACTACTTATGGTAAAAATTTCCTTATAAACTACATATTTTATATTATTTTTTTTCAAGTGAAAATCAATTTTTTTTACAAAACTAGAAATCCTTTTAAAAAAATAATAAAAATAAAGCATTCACCCAATCGTTAATGTTCATTGTAATTGTTGTGATAATTTTGTTTAATTTAAATTTTTATTATATACTTTATTTAATAATATAAATCCTTATATAATTATACATTATATTTATACATAATGAATATTTTTTTGCAATAAATTGCACATATGAAGTATATTGTTGTTTTTATAGTATCTTAAGTATGAGAAAAATTACTTCATTTTTGCAGATTTATGGTGATCCGTGGACAAAGGTTTGCAGTAAGTATGATGATTATTGGAACTATCGTACCCAATTCACCAAACGAATTGGAAAAATGAAGTTTAGATTACTTATATTCTATAAACTTTGAATAACTATCAGATGCGAAAAAACTAAGGACGCATGAAAAAACTATTGACCACATCAATGATTACAGCACCTAACACTCTCTAGTATCTACTTCAAAAAGGCCAAAAATATACTCTAATGAACTGTTGCCATGATTGGGACAAACTTCTTTAAATAAGACAATAGTTTTGACGGTCGCTAGACTACTGAAGACAAGTTCTTTCCCTATATATTCTGTCTCCGGTTATCGCTCATAACATCTTTTTCGTCATTCATTTTCTTGAAATAAATCTTGACAGGATGGGTGATCTAAAGAGCGTTAGTTTTGTCGATTAACAGAGCTCTACACACTAATTGTTTACTGAGCTCGTAGCAGGACCTAATGGCAATGGTAATTCTTTGTTTTTTCCACATTACCATCGTTGTTCGTTTTTTTATTATAAAACTATTATGTCTATTATATCATAAAATTATATATCAAGCTTAAAAATGATAACTCACGTGGTCAAATTCTATTAATCTTTCAGTTTGAAATCCTACATTTCATACGTGAATATCCCCTATAATTTTGTAAATCTTTAGACCTCTAGAATAGATGTTTATATCTCTAGTGTCGATTTTTAGATCTCTTGAGTAGGTCTTTAAATCTCTAGAGTAGATCTTTAGATCTGTAGAATAGATCTTTACAGTAGATTTGTATATATGTAGAATAGATCTTTACATCTCTCGAATACATCTTCAGATCTCTGAAATAGATATTTAGATCATTAGAGTAGATTGTTAGGTCTGTAGAGTAGATCCACTGTAGAATGGACCTCAAACGTAATTAATTTTTTTTTACATTGCACTAAAATACATATACCTTTTGATAAATATAAATAAATACATATAAGTTTTAATTTTTATAAAATTACATACCTTTTGATATATTTCGTTAAAAAAAAACAGTTTTTTAAAATACATATTTTATATATTTATTTATTTATAAACAAAAACAAGTTCAACTTTAAAAATATACACAATTACTGTTAATATATTTATATATATATAATCTGTTCATTATCTTTTTGATAATCTGATTTCTTTTGAGAATATGTAAATCTATCTATCAACAGAATAATTAACAAAAATTCATAAATATTTAAAATATTCTTTTTATATATTCAAATGTTTATTTTTAGCAAAATAGTATAATTAAATATTTAGGTTTGAGTAATAGTAACTTTAATCAATTAATCAATTTAAAATTTTATCATTAAAATTCTAAAATCTATAAACAACATAAATGTATTGCTTTTAATTATAGCTAAACATATATTGTATTTATGCACGTATATATGTATAAATATTGTGTAAACAATGCATTACTCTGAAAAATGCAGTTGAAAATTATATTAAATTACTTAAATTTAATTTCTTAATTGCATTAAATTTTGATAGAAATTTTAGTAATTAAAGAAATTAACCCACTAATTTAAAATTTATTACAATATTTATTGAAAAATTCATGCTATTTATAATTTGAGGTTTGCTTAAAGCACCAATTAATTAATCATATTTTAAAAGTTAACTTATTAAAAGGAAACATATTACGAATTAAAAATTAAAATCACAATTAACATTTCAGCATTGAGTTTTTCCTATTTGTTTTTTTTTTATATTATTATTTATCAATTTATCATTCAATTAAAAAAAATAAATGTATAATGCGTTCGGAATGAATACCCTCGGGCATATAGTTCTGTGTAATAACTGATGGTAAATGATAAATATTGGGATGGTGATTAACTTTCGTCGTTCATAGAACATAAGGCAATGCATTGCAAAGATACTTAAGACTCGTCGAGACTTCAACTGGTACTGTTTATATTCAATGCAAGGAATTTATCCTTTCGTGCCAAATATTCGTTGTATCGCACATATGCATATCTGCAAAGATAATACAGTTAAAATTGCTATAAATTGGAGATTGCTATAAGTTAATATGATAAAACTTACCCAACATAATCGAAATCAAGTTTGGAATGTTCTGCTTGTATTAAACACCAAATGGTCCAAAAGAAATGCGCTGCTAAAGAGAATTGATTTACCTGTACGTAAAGTCGATGTACTTCATCATCTGTAACGTGTTTTTTTTTTAGATAGGCCTGTAGATACACACGTAACCATTCAAGCTGGAATTCACGTTTAGGATATCTGCTATAATCGACTTCATCAACGCCAGCAAATTCAGCAAAGTGATTGCCAATATCGAAAGCTTGGAAGTTATAATCAGCATACTCATAGTCGATGAAATTCACAGTATTTCGAGATTCCGTATAGACAACGTTTCCCAATAATAGATCGTTGTGCGCAAACACTAATGGGCTGCCAAGTGATTCCAGATGCTTGTAAAGTTCCGCAAATTCAGCACGTAAACGTGATATTGGCAAAAACGTTCCCTCAAGTCTGTAATGATATTGAAGAGCAATTTGCGCAAATAGCAGAGAAGAGCCCCGAGAAAGAAATACAATTTCAGTGAAAAATATTCAACAGAATTGTGTTCGAATTTTTTAATATATACTTTTTTTTTGTTGGATATTAATAAATTTATAAACAAATAATGAAGGCAAAGATATTACTATCGAATTTGCAACAATGAACGATCAACGAACAAACGAGACGAGCGAAACGAACGTACAACAGCTGAACGTTTCGTATCGATCGATCAATTGATAACATGCACATGCCCAGCGTGCAGCGTGCAGAGAGAGGGAGGGAGACAGATAGACCTTGTGCGAACGCTGACGAGAGAGTAACCGAGAAACAGCCGAACACCCTCGTCCTCGCCGCCCCCATCATAGTCCTGCTCTTTATATGGGCCTATAAAATAATGATTTTGCATGTGACGAAATAAAATTGAAATTTTCAAGCAAATTACCTTTTGTGTTTATCAGCATCAGTAAACTTTTCAGGTACTAAATCGAAGAAACTTTGTGTTTTCTTCCAAAGCATTGGCATATGATTATTTTTATCACAATTATCTGATTGTGGTTTTACGACACGATGCATTGCGGCCAAATGATGAGCAACCAATTTCCAAATTTCTGGTCGCAATACACTGCTTGTATCCAATGTGACTCCAGGTACATAATCATAGGCTAAGCCATTTTTAAATGTTGCATATAGAGATGGTGCCATACCATACGAATGCAATAGTATTATATTCTGTGTCTCAGCTTTACGATCAATAAGTAGATCAGTTTTGTTTCCATAAACTCGTACGAGTACTACGTTATTGGAGGACTTTGAGTCTGTATTTCTTGTCTCAGATTCAATGTCGGATTCGCTAAGATTGCCAGAGTCATTGCCGTCATTGTGTATGTGTTCGTATTCATTTGTAGTGGAAGTACTATGATGTGAGCTGTTGATTGTACATTTACCATTGGTAGAAGTTCCATTTTTTGGTGGATTATAAAAGCAGCCAACAAGTTTGTTTGTTATACCATCCGTAAATTTCTAAAAACAAAAATAATTAGTATAATAAATAAGTACATTTTATTTAAAACTATGAAAAAAGAGAAGAGATATATATTAAAAAGAACAACCTAAATCTTTAAATTTTTTATGCATAGAGGTGGGACAGGATGAAAGTAGCAACCGGTCTTGCAGTTAGTTCGCTTTATTTAGGCCTGAAGAACTGGACTCAGGATGCTATATATTCTTTACACATAACATCCTGTGTTTTTTCATTTTCAAACGACAACAATCAAAGGACAACGTTTTAAACAACAAATTAATAAAGCTATAATCATAGATCGAGCTCAAAACCATAGTTTTGATCACATATCTATAGTATTTATAGTAGAACATCTCATATTCTTTAAATCTAGAATATTAGATTTACTCGTTACTTTTTTTTCACATCTCGTACATATTTCTCTTATACGATAATGTTGTTCACTTTAACCCTCTTATTAATACTATTTTTGTATTATGTATTGAAAAAGTATATTTATATTAATTTGCATTTTGTATAATAAAAACGATGTATACGTTATATATATTTTTACATAATTTGCGAGGCAACCCCTGTATTTTTGTCATTAAACGATTTGATTAGTAAATATTGAAACAAAAGCATCCTCTATATTTATATGAGGAAAGGGTGTTGAAAATATGGTGATGCAAATTTTCATTAAATAAAATATGCATTGCAATTTATTAATTTATTTGCATTGTTCTCAAGTTCAGATTGCTATTTGATTGTTATGACCTTTTTTACATCATATCACCTACAAAATTTGCATTGACTCACTTTAATATAATAAATGATATGCCTGATTATAATACATATAAGTATATTCACATTTTCCGTACTCTTGGCCTTTATGATTGCTCATATCTAATCTTGTTCAATCAAAATAATTGAATAATTGCAAATTAATAGTACAGGTTCATTTTCGCTAACCAAAGTGTCCCCATTACCTATGCTGGAATATTCCATACATGAGTAACCACTTTAGGAAAAATAAACCTGTTTGAAATAATAAATAATTTAATAATTTTAAATAAAAGTGGAGTGCTTATGCTAAAATACACATAAATTTAAACGTTGTTGTACTAAAAACCTTTTAAAAATAATTATTTCAAAAAATAAATAAAATAAATGAGATAATCATAAATAATCGTAAGATAATTAATTATATCAGTGATGGAGTTTGTATTTTTTTTAAGGGGTTTAGAATATTTCCTGAAGATGTTATGATAACTATAAAATTTAGAAGTTATTAAAAGTTTTTAATTTCATAATTAAAATATTATTGGGTTAGAAAGAAGTAGCTAGCGGATTTCTGTTTGTTTGACTTAGCAGAGCTATACTAATGGTCGTATTCATAATCTCCAATAACAAGCTTGTTGCCTATCTCCATGTTCTTCGGTTACATTATTTAATACTGTGATATAAAAAATAAGTTAAAGTTTGTAATTTAAAAAAAGAGGACTTTTCGATTATGGCAACTCATTTTTTTGCTAACATTTTATTTTGATCAGTCTAGAAACAGTTAATTTGGTGGCGTGCGTTCGGCACTCCTTCTGCTGGTTAACAAGAAATATTATTTAAGTGCTCTTTAAGTCATACATGAAGCTAATCGCAAAAATTATGGGCAGTCAATTGTTTATTTTGAGCTTCGGGATACTACACCATATCACGCTGCATTGGTTCCTTGAAATCTATTAAATCCGCCTAAGCTAGACTTCTAGTTATTCTCTAAGCTTCAGAGACCACTCCAAAAATACCGTTTTGTTACGATTGAGAAGATAAAAATCAAATCGCTGGATACTTACTTTGAAGATCATTCTGAAAACTGACTTTAAAAGTTGTTTCCAGAGAACATTGTATTGTACCAGAAAGGGAATAATTTGAAGAACTAGTTAATTAGTTCTAACTAGTTGTTAGAATTAGTGTTGAAAACTTTAAATTTTTTTATATAAAAACTCGTATATTTGCTATCTGGTGTGCCTATATTAGAGTCATAAAGTGAGTATTTTTAATACGGTATACTTATTCTCATAAATATGTTTTATGGTTTGTTTACTATAATATATGGTAGGATGCACTTGACAGGCAGACTATGTTAAATTATAAAAAATTATTTACTATCCTTATATATATTATTTGATAAAAACTAACTACTATAAACTTGTTGTTTATTATTTATTGTGGTATGCTTAATATTATAAATTTGTCATATAGTTTATTCTGATACTGATAAATTACGATCATAAATAAACTAATTAATATGTTTAATATGATAACATATCGTAACGCATGTTAAATTAATAATAGTTTTTTATCTGCTTTTTCATTTTTATATTAATTAATTTATTTTTATGTATTGTATTAATTAATTTTGAAGGATATTATATCATCGAATATGATTTTAACAATAATAGCAAGCAAGAAACCGAGCTTTTAGTCCTTAAAATTCAATAGGTGTATCAATATTAAAAAAATATAGTAGAAGACATTGTAAATTAGTTTTGTTTCTATAATTAATTGATTTTATATATAAAAGGCTTTAATGTTCTTTACCGAATACAGGAATTAATAGACATAAAATTTATATGTACAGTAGAACCTTTATAATTCGAATCCCAAACAAAAAGTAAAATCGTTTGAATAATGGAAGTCTTGATTTATTGAGTTCTCGAATTATAAACTTTAAAAAAACAAAATCACTAATAGAGAATCATAGGATTTTGTTTATTTTTATTAAATCTTAACTATTTAAATGAGAAAAATTAAAAAGATAGATAATATTATAATACATACATTCCATTATATATTATATAATATAGGGTACTTCATATCAATATATTCTTCTTCTTCTTCTATTATCATCTTTTCACAGTGGAGCATAGGGCTTCCACTATATCACTATATTGATGATTAATAATCATTAGTATCAGGTATTAATCAGTATTAGTGTTAAGTATGAGATACTATCATAGGCTAAAACACTAGTTGTTTGTGATACTGTGTCCATTAATGGACTATTGTACATAATTACCGAAGAATTTCTTTCAATTTCTTTTGCCTGTATCCAGAAAAGTCTTAATCTTTTCTAAATCGATTTTTGGTCACTATTCTTTATGATCCAATTTTTCTCTCATATTGTATACTCTTTTTTGGTCACTATTCTTTGTGAATCAATTATTTATTATATTGCATACGAGCAGAATACTCTTTACGGATACATAATAATGTTTCTATATCTTCAAGACATAGTCTGCATTCATCGTTTATTGAAAAGCCTAGCCGCAGTTATCACTCCAATCATTGTTTTAAATCTAATATGTACACTTTTAGAAGATATTTGCTTTTCTTCTCTGAGTCAACTTGCAATACATCAAGGTGCCTACTACGCAGAGGATGCCTATAGACATAAAGGATGCCGAAAACTGATATATATTATTCGCGTTGTGTTTAACGCCTTCAAGGTGCAGAGAACGAATAAGAGACGTTTCTACTTAAAGGTAGTTCAAAATATAGAATTTATACTGCAATAATAATATATTTCATTACGTTCTTTTAAATGGGATTAGAGTTCTGAGATGCCTTACTAGATAAGTCTAATATGTGTGAGCTTTAGATCAGTGTTTATACTTGGTACACTTATTATTTACATTTTGTTGAAGAACTTATGCACATAGCGAAATTAAGTTATTTTATTACTTTTATCATATGAGATACTGTGCTAAAAGTTGTCTTACTTTCATCATTTTTAATGCACATTGCTGAGGACATTCTGAACGTTGTCGTTTTTTAAGTACTATATACCATGTCTCATACTATCTTATCAGACAATATAACAAACAAAGCGACGAGGTAAAGTAAATTAAAAAAAATGTATAACAAAGATAAATTATTATCATTAATTATATATTTAAATATATATAAAATATATTTATATCATTAAATGATATAAATAAAAAGTAAATCAAACAAGAGATATTTTGCCAAATGAGTTATGAAGGCAAATTATGTCTGATTTAAAAATACAAGAAAAATATGTTCAAATAAAAAAACGAAAAAAAATAAATAAAATGTAAAAAAATTGTCAAAACTAAAAATGGCACAAAAAAGTAGAATGAGCAATCAAATTCTAACAACACCTCTGATATACCAAAATCATTTCAATTTCTATATAAAAAAATCGTATGATAAATAAATGCAAAGCAAAAGCGAGTCACACACCTGACCACACTCATTCAGCAAAAAATTAAGGCAAAAACAAAAAAAAAACAAATCATTCGTGACGTGATGTTCTAAAATGTTCTTTCACTTCGCCGTCTAAAGAATTTTGGTAGCAGGCAGCAGGGAGCAAAGTACAAATAACCACGTCAGTGCTAGGAAAAAAAACTTTCGAACTCGAAGTGATGAAACGCAAAACTATTTTCTTTGCTTCTTTACTCAGTGTTCCTTCCTGAATTCTTTTTTGCGCATTCATTGCGTTCCCCATTGCGCAAAAGTCGAAATAGAAAAAAAAAAAGAAAAAAAACAGTCGACGGTATGGATTATCGAATTCGTACTATGTAAAACCACACACCTCCCCACTAAATTACAACAAAAAAAAACATGCAAATTATTTATCAAAATAAAATGTTATAGCAGAAAAATAACAAAAAAAAAATAAATAAATAAAGTTATTTACATTAGATACACGTGATTAAAGCAAAATATTAACAAAAAAATAAAATGCTTAACAAAAAACATTTGCCGAAAACAATGACCGGCTTTTTCGTTAAGTTCGTAATTTCTTTGTTCGAAAACTGGTTCTTATTTTATTGAAATAATATATTTTGCAAATGAAAAAAAAATAGTTTTGCAAGTCTTAAAAGCTTTTAAAATTATTTATTACCTGATTTTTTTTTTAAAGTTTTTTTCAAATATTTTTTAATTATACATTACAAAAATAATTTTTTTAGCAAAGGACGTGAGAGAAGAAAGAAAACTT